AGGGTTCCATTGAAAATAAGTGTCTTATGAAGGGTTCCATGACCCAAAAAGTTTGGGAACCACTGGAGTAGACTGAGCTGGGTAGGATTAATGGTTGGTTGTGAATCATATTCAAAATGAACCTCAATCAGTGGCTGATTCCAGATGAAAAACTCCCCCCCCCCCCGCCTTGGCACACAGAAGACTGGACAACTTGGAAGGTACTGAACAATGTTCTACCATTGTGGTAGGGCTCAGACTGCATTGTAGTAGGTGGTCTGTGGTTTGCTCTTCTCCACACTCCACTTTGTGGCCCCATTTCTTAATGTTGGCTCTGCATCTTGTGGTGCCAGAGTGCAGTCTGTTCAGGGCCTTCCAAGTCATCCAGTCTCTCATTTGGTATCAGTTATGGTTTGGGGTTCTGGGTTTTAGCCTGACACTTTTGGACTCTCACTTGCTGAGGTGTTCCCATAAATATCTCTGTAGATCTTAGAAAACTGTTTCTTGATTTAAGGCATTGGCGTGCTGGCTGATATCCGAACAGAGGATGGGCCGGAGATGTCACTGCCTTGGTCCTTTCATTACTGGCTGCTACTTCCTGACTGATATCAGGTGGTGCAATACTGGCTAAACAGTGTAATTTCATCTGCTCTTGCGCTTTGCTACTCTGCTGCTGAATAAGAATGCCCAGTGTGGAAGGCATCTCACCATATTAAAAGAGTGGATGTGGCTCTTAATGAGACATGCCACATTATCACAGGATGTTTAAGTCCTACTGGAGAAATTACACTGTCTAGCCAGTATTGCACCACCTGACATTTGTCGGGAAGTAGCAGCCTGTAGCATTGACATATCTGGCCCATCCTCTGTTTGGATATCAACCAGTAAGTCAATCCCTTATATCAAGAAATAGCTTCCTAAGATCTACAGAGATACTTGCAGGAACATCTCAGCAAGCGAGAGTCCAAAAGTGGCAGGTTAAAACCCGGAACCTCAATCAGTGGCTGATTCCAGATGAAAAACTCCCCCTTGGCACACAGAAGACTGGACAACTTGGAAGGTACTGAACAGACTGCCCTCTGGCATCATGAGATGTAGAACCAACCTTAAGAAATGGGGCTACAAAGTGGAGTCCACTACATGTGAGTGTGGAGAAGGGCAAACCACAGACCATTTATGACAATGCTGCCTGAGCCCTGCCACATGCACAATGGAGGACCTTCTCACGGAGACACCAGAGGTACTTCAAGTGGCCAGCTTCTTGTCAAAGGACGTTTAGCATAATGCCTAGTTTTTATCTTTGTTTGTGTCTTTTCTATACATTATAATTATATTCTCAATTCACTTCTGGCACCATAAAAAAACATAAAGAAATTATCCTGCATGTTGGGAGACAGAGAAATCAGCACCCAAAATGCCGTTTTCAGAAGCAGCCTCATCTTGTGCATAATACAAAAGGCTGTCCTTTGCTGGAAAAAAAAAGATTTAGCTGGGGAATTTCTGTGCATATATCTTCCTGCTCAAACTAGACATATATGTGTATATGGACATATATTGGCCTTATGATGTATTTTCATAGCATCCGATGCAACCCCTATCCATTCTAAAGCAGATGAATGGGGTGAGTGTTTAAGCATCTTGTGCTCATCTTGAGGTATCTGTGCCTTGTTGCACATGATGATTCCAGATTCAGGAGGAATATACCGGTATTTTTCCAAGCGTTTTAGGGGCACTTTCTTCTTTCTCCCTTCCCTTTTAAAAGAAGAGAATATCTCTGTGGGGGGAGCTGGCAGAAGCAGAGGATAACTAGAGATAAACAGGTGCTTTCTTCTTTTTAGAGGCACGTGAGGTCAGCTCTTAAGACACAGCAGAGACAATAGGAGTCCTTTTGCCTTTCAGCCTTTCCTCCTGACCACCCAGTAGAGGGAAAATACCCAATGTTTTGTCGGTTTTTGTACTGGAAAAAAGCTGTGTGTGCCCTTCAAGCTTCCTATGAGCCTGTTCCTTGACTGAGAATATTCCATATGCTACTAATAAATTATACTCTTTTATATTTTTGTGAAATTTCTTTCCACCACAGAAAAAACTTCAACAAATTTATTACAATTTAAATCTGGAGAGTGTTGGAAAAAGATAAAAAATCAATCTAAATAAGCAGGCCTTATTTGTAACACTGCAAAGCCCTATACACCGCTGATAGTATATAAATTATAATAACAATATATATATGATTTAAAAGTCAGTGGTTTGTAAATATTTTAATGGCTTATTTCACGCAAAATTAAAATAACTACAAATGCCTCATGTCTTGGTTTGCTTTAAAGGCAATGTTCGCCGAGTTTATTTTATGTCATGGATAACAATTAGCACAGAGGATTTCTTTGTACTAATTATTATAGCTGCCTATCAAAACCTCTCAAGTCATGCAGTTAAATTTTCTGGGAATGAAACATACTGCATCGCTGTGCCTATATCTTAACCGGAAACTTTGAATGTTCTCTAGTCAAAAGCTCCTAACGTCGTGTACGAATCTGAACAGAAATCATATTCTCAATGAACCGGAACCAGGATAGAATGTTAATACAAAATGCAAACATTTTTAAACTGACAGAATATAAAGAGCAAAAACAGGCCAACATATGCCTACAGTGAAAGTCACATGAATTTAAATGGTCGGATTTTCCCCACTGGGTGGCAGAAGGTGGGATATTTTTCCAGATTGCTTGTTCAATGCATATTGTGCAAGAATTTTGCCTTATCGCACCACTCTGACAGTTTTATAAACAGCTGCATGTATGTCCTTTCAAGACATCAGATGAACAAAAATCTAAATATACCATTGAAAATTTGACTACACTACATGCACAATTATTTAGCTACATTAAAATGTTTACTTTTTGAATACCAAAGTGGACCTTCAATTCAAACAATCCAAAATTCTGCAAATCATGCCTTGTTAGTATATGCATATGTGAATGTAATACCTGGGACTCCATGCCTATAAAGTCCCTTGCATATGTTGGAATGTGTATGTGGTCTGTGTATTTTATAGAGATAGTTAGTGGGTGAGTAACATTCGTAAACTGAAATAACTATTTGTGGCAGAAAATAACCTGTCATTTTTCAGATCATGTCTGGTTATTTAACAGGAGTGTTTTAACTGGTGATCATGAGACATTTTAAAAAGCTGGCGCATCAAATATTCCTAAAAAGAACTATAAGTTTGCTTGAGTGTATATGTATATGCACACACATGTATATTTTCAACTGACATCACAAAGGAAGCTGGAAGATAAAACATCTGCTACTTTATATTTATACCTGTTTCTAATCCTTTTAATACATCATTTCTGGATTCTACCTGAAAATATTTCTTTGCGTGTGTGTGTGTGTCAGGAGCAACTTGAGAAACTGCAAGTTGCTTCTGGTGTGAGAGAATTGGCCATCTGCAAAGACGTTGCCCAGGGGACGCCTGGATGTTTTACCATCCTGTGGGAGGCTTCTCTCATATCCCTGCATGAGAAGCTGGAGCTGACAGATGGGAGCACACTCTGCTCCCCGGATTCGGACTGCCAACCTTTCGGTCAACAGTCCTGTTGGGACAAGGGTTTAACTCACTGGGCCACCTGGTTAAACCAGGCAAATTGAATAGTGCTGTTCAATTGTTTGATTCAAATATTGTATGTGTGTGGTTAACTGCCATAAAGTTACTTTCAGCACATGGAGTTCCTATGAATAAGAGAACTCATACATACTTGAATCTTACTTTGAACCCTGTCCTACAGAATGTGGGAGACCACACATTGCAATCCTGTGTCCATTTACATATATGAAGATTTCACTGACAAAAATTGAGAAGTAGACATATCAATGTCCAACAGAACAAACCTGTTCCACATACTATAATTGGAAGATAGTGCACACTATCAGTAGGAATCAAGCTCTTTCACTTTGCCTGGATTTTCAGAAAGGGTTTTCATTAGCCTGCTGTGTAGTGTTTTCCGTATCACAGTTTAATCACAAGAGATGGAGACTAATGCAAATAAAGAGATGAAGGGTTGCAAATTTATTTATTTTCTCCACAGAAAGTGAGTCTAGTTAGTAGTTTGGTTGAGGAAATACTAGTATTTCCTCAATTCTAAGACACACTCCCCCCCCCATATGTCTTAGAATTACAGATGCATGTGTTTGTGTGTGTGTGTTTGTGTGTGTGTGTGTGTGTGTATAGCTTGTGGTACTGAATTTAGTGTATATCATAGAATAGGTTAGGTCTTGCAATTCATGAAATACAGCACTACTATATCTATTTTTTTTAATGATACAGAAATTGCTTCAGCAGAAAAATAGATACTGTAAGCATAAAAGGAGACTTCTGTGAATAAATCCAGGCCCGAAGTTAGCTGAAATCTCTGCAGCTGTGCTCTTATCTGGATGGAGGAAGGAGAAGAACAACAAAAGAAGCTAAGAAGCCTCAGTTGATGCATGGGAAAGCCATTGGCTGGCAATTGTGGCTGCCCTTCTGCTGAGCAAATAGTTCAAACTGTTCATTCCCATCTCCTATTCTCTCCCTGGTACATTGTTTGTGTCCTTGCATTTCATTCTGCGAGGAAGATTGCTCTCTGGGCCTATAAGCAAACAGTCCAGAAAAAGAGCCAACTAGCCTCCTCTTTTCCCTGGAGAACTAGCATTTTTAGTTCCAGCTCCAAGCTGTCAACGAGTTAGAGAGTTAATGTCAGTATCCTGAATTAATTGCCTTAAGCTGGAGCAGTCAAAATGTGCCACCAAATGCCCAGAAGATGTTTATTAATAATGTTTCCCTTATTTGGTTTGCCGGGGTGTGTGAGAGAGATTTCTTTGTTGTTTTAATTTTTTTTGTTCCAAGCTTTATTCCACACCCAGTGCTCCCTTTTCTCTGCTTGAATGCCCTTCCTGACTATAGGTTACATTGGCTAAATGCAAAGCACTTATGGTGTATTAGGAACAGCTCACAAGGTATCACCACATGGAGGAGAAACACTTACACGTCTTGGGCTCCCAGCTGTCACTGTCCTCCTGTCAGAAATTCGGCTTGAGAGCCTTGACTGTCGGAACAAGGTGACGGATGCAGGAGTTAGGAATAAGCAACAGTATGTTTACACATAAATATATTTGAAAATTAAACCCAAAATGCTGTGGAAATTACAAACGGAAAAAAGAGGAGACAAATGGTAAATGGGTTTGCGTTTAAACATAAAAGATTTTAAAATGCTCCCCAGTGTGGATGGCCCTCTTTAAGAGAATGAAATAATAAACCAATTTATATACCAATAGAGAGCTGAGATCCTGAGTGCCGTTGTGTAAATTTTCCCCCTTGACTTTTCATTATCTACCTGTGCAAAATCAATCTATATGTATGGGATCAACATACAATTGGAGAGATAAAAGGCAAAATAAAATGTGCTTTGCATATCCCTGGGATAAGAGGCACTGTTCCTCGTTCCCCTCTGGTTTCCAGGCAGATGCATTTTATTCTTCTTTTTTAAAAAAAAACAGCTTGTAAATGTAAAGGAAAAAAGACAGGTCGGTGTGGCAAGTGTTTACCTCTTTGCCTGAAATATTGATTTTGTTAAATGAACTGTGGTTAATAAGTAACCAAGGAAATACCAGCTTAATTTTGTTTGAAATTCATCGCAGTGAAGAACAAAGGCTAGAATTTCTCTTATTTTTATAGGATATGTTGCACTTATTTGCAAGGGAAATGTATAAAACCCCAACTAGGGACATAACACACGACTGTGAAGATCCATTAAATTATAAAAGGAAAAAAAATGATACACATGTGAATGTCTCTATACTGTAGCTGGATAGTATTCTCTGTTAAAAACACTGTAGTCAATGCAGTGTTGTTGAAGGATTAAAAAATAATGTGTTCATGCAACATACTTTTCACTTGGGCCAGTTGTGTTGCAAAGTCGTGGTTAAATCAAGAGCTGTGCATGTATATATGAACTACATTTGGATTTCTTCCCTAACTGTGCATATGATAACCTGTCCTGTTTTTGTTGATGGATGAATGCTGCTTTCTCATACCTACATGTGGAACTCTGAGATTGAGACTGGTCATGTGGATCCTTCTGTCCCTAATACCATCTCCAATCCCACCAGCACCCACACATGGGATCCCAATATTCCAGAGTATGCTCCAATGTTATAGGCTCTGGGCATGGAGAATCAGCCTCTTCATCATCACTAACATATATGAATACAGGCACAGTAGGTAAAGGTCCAGTTGATCTGAATGATCCTGTCCGTGTTTTGAGATCCTCTGGGGGTCTTCTTTCTGTTTCATCTACTTCACATATATATCAGGTGGAAACACAGGCCCTTTTTGATTATTGTCCTCATGATCTGAAACACTGTTCCTAGAGAAGTTAGATTGGAACTTTTCATTGTCATCCTTCTACAGGCAGAAGAAGGCTCCTTTTTCAGGACATCTTTGGGAGTTGATTGTTCAGAGTCCTCCTGAAATCCAATACAGGGATACAGTGCAGAGAACATCAAGTTTTATGCTGGCTGCTCTTAAGCACAAAAGAAGGAAAAAGGAAGAGTGTACCAGGGACACACTACTTCATCTTTTATATATGACTAGCCATCCCCTGCCACGCATTGCTGTGACCCACATGGGGGTTCTGTGTGGGAGGTTTGGCCCAATTCTATCATTGGTGGGGTTCAGAATGCTCTATAAATCCCAGCAACTACAACTCCCAAATGTCAAGATTCTATTTTTCCCTAACACCACCAGTGTTCACATTTGGGCATATTGAGTATTCGTGTAGAGTTTGGTCCAGATCCATCATTGTTTGAGTCCACAGTGATCTCTGGATGTAGGTGAACCACAACTCCAAAACCAAAGGACACTGCCCACCAAACCCTTTCAGTATTTTCTGTTGGTCATGGGAGAACTGTGTGCGAAGTTGGGTTCAATTCCATCGTTGGTGGGGTTCAGAATGCTCTTTGATTGTAGGTGAACTGTAAATCCCAGCAACTACAACTTCCAAACGACAAAATCAATTTTTTGAGTGAAGGACATATAATGGGTTGTTAGGTGTCTTGTGTCCAAATTTGGTGTCAATTAGTCCAGTGGTTTTTGAGTTCTGTTAATCCCACAAACAACATTACATTTTTATTTATATAGAAGAAGAGCTACCTGAAGAAACATGGGCATACTCTGGCAGTCATTCATTATCTACCAAGAGCAGTGGTTCCTAACCTTTTTTTTGACCAGGGACCACTTTCCAACATTAATACAAGGGTTACAAATCAGTCTTTGGTCAACTTTTGATTCGGTTTGGTTATTTGGGGTGCTGATTCAGAAAACTGCATTAGATAGACCACATCAGCTCTAGTTTCTGATACAGAACATATGCCATCCAGTAGTCATCATCATCTGCTCACCCACCAAAAAAACCATATTTAATAATCTAGAGCTGATGTGATAGTAGTAATCTTTTGTGGATAGTCAGCCACTCCCCTCCCGATATCCCCATTGCCTCAGCATTATAAGAGGGTTTCATGAGACCAGTCACTCTCATTGCCACATGGTTTCGAGGCAATGGTGTAGTAATGATGAGGCCGCAGACCATATTTTCGATCTTGCAGACCACTGGTGGTCCATGGACCACAGGTTGGGTGCCACTGACCAAGAGGAACAGCCATGCAGAGGGAATAGCCTCCATCATCTGTTATAACTATGCTGGTGGATTCTACTAGTCCATCCATGTGGTATAGGATCTTATATATTCTATGAAAAACAGTTAGATGCCAAAATACTGCAATATGCTGAATGTCAGGTGTCAGATATGACATGGAACCTCCAACTATTCTAATATATCATTACTTAATCAACATGTAATGTTTCACAACATATACATATGCAGCTAATCACCAGTATTCACATAAGAAAATGAAGAGCACAAATTCTAGGAGAGCATTTGTTGCAGCTCTACTGTTTATGCCGATTACATTTTTGGACAAGACCATCCAATCCCACCTGGGAACAGAAGCCAAGCAGGTGACCCTAGTGTGCTGCAAAGGACAGCAAAGAAATTGATTAAAGTATTTTAGTCAGATATCCTTACTCAGCTATGACACCTACTAAATGACCTTGGGCAGGTCATATTCTCTCAGAGAAAGGCAAAGGCAAATGCCTTCTGAACAAAACCCATGATAAGATTACTTTAGAGTTGCCGTAAGTCAGACACAACATTCTGACACACAACAACATATCAAGCCATCTTCATTTTGGACTACAGTTGCCAGAATCAATCGTGGGGATTCTGGGAGCTCTTGTCCTAATAAGTAAACTGTCTAGGCTTTCTGTACTTAAAGAGACTCTGGGTTCACCTAATCTATCCTGGCAGAAAGTGGGTTTTTTTTTATCTAGACAGAGACTTTTCATCACATCCTCTACTTTTTGACACTGAACCCAAAAATGTCTACATCCACAGCAGTGCTCTGTCTAGTTGATACCATCTAGTTGATACCATGGCTCAGTGACAATAAATTGCTAACATGCAGAAGAGATTGCCCAGTATATCTCTGTATGTTGTAGGTTTTTTCAGGCTATATGGCCATGGTCTGGAGGCATTCTCTCCTGACGTTTCGCCTGCATCTATGGCAAGCATCCTCAGAGGTAGTGAGGTCTGTTGGAACAGTCAACATCAGGAGAGAATGCCTCCAGACCATGGCCATATAACCCGAAAAAACCTACAACAACCCAGTGATTCCAGCCATGAAAGCCTTCGACAATATATCTCTGTATGACTCACTGTTCTGATCTTGCCTCTTTCTGGTCATCTCTTTAAAGATGTAACTGGGCTATAACTTTGTAGGGAGTTGACTTTCTGCTTCAGTCTCCTCGACACCAAATCACTGCCTGATTTATTGTTCATTCATTAAGGAGCCATTGTGTGTGTGTGTGTGTGTGTGTGTGTGTGTGTGTGTGTGTCAGGAGCAACTTGAGAAACTGCAAGTCACTTCTGGTGTGAGAGAATTGGTCATCTGCAAGGATGTTGCCCAGGGGATGCTCTGATTTTTGATATTTTACCATCCTTGTGGGAGGCTTTGCTCATGTCCCTGCATGGGGAGCTGGAGCTGACAAATGGGAGCTCAACCTGCTCTCCCCAGATTCGAACCACTGACCTGTCAGTCAGCAGTCCTGGCGGCACAAAGGTTTAACCCATTGCACCACCAGGGGTTCAAGGGGCCGTTGGTGATGCATGAAAAAAGGCAAGGACAGCCTATGTGGTTGGGTAATCTTAGACATTCTAAAGGTAAATTTAGATCAGAGGAAGAGAGCAAAGTATGCTTCTGATTTCAACAGAGGTGAGGGATATCACTGCTAAATATTGCTTTATGTTCATCTCGATCAAGGGCCTTAATCTGTCAACTGCCCATCAGTGCAGAGGTTGCTTTGTTTTGCATTTTACCATTTACTTCCAGACAGGTTCTACTTTCACCATCCTGTTTGTTTGTCCAAACCAGCTTATGTGGATGCACGCTTTTCATTAAGTCATGCCAGATAGGAAAGCAGAAGCAAATGAATCTTATCTGCTGTTAACTCAGAGTATGTTTGCAGTATTTGGATGCATGGATCCTGGAAATGGGCAGGAGAATCAAGCTACTGCAGACAAAGGCTGTTGCCCAGAGCTGTACAAGCAACCAAATCCTGCTATCACCTGTAAACAGGGAGTTTCAGAAAGTGCATACTGCCCACTGACTATGGAAAAGCCATGGCTGTGGAAGCTACTTGTGGGATTGTGGGACTCAATGCTTTGTTTATACTATATACAATTTTCAAGAAAACTTTATGAACTTCATTTGGTCCTCATAAATCAACAGGTCACTTGAAGGTACAGACATGCGCACTGCCCAGGGTTCAAGCAATAGCAGTTATGCCTTACCACACAGAGGACTCTCAACAGTTTGGAAGACAACTTCAATGGAAGAGGACACCTGAAGCTCTGGCATGAACAAAAGAATATTCTTGGTGGCTGGGGGACATTTCTGGAGGATTACCCATTGTCTAGTGAAATTCTTGCAGAGTCCGAGATTAGATGAACCTGCTTCCTCTGCTATTTTTCCTCTCGTTTGTGATCTTTTCTGATTAAAACAATGAATGCATCTGTTGTGAATCATTTTCCAACTCCAGACTTCGAGACAACATGAAAACATAACAAAGACCTGCATTCTCTGAAGAAGAAAGCAGAGTCTACAATTATTTAACACTCATTCTTATGTAGCTTCAAGTCAGCTCTGATTTATAATCCCTGGAACATTTTATTCCAGGAAGGTTTCCTGTGGCTTTCCTCCAAGACTGAGAAAGTGTGACTTGCCCAAGTTCTCCGAGTTTGCTTCAAAGCCTAGTCTTTCAGAGTCTTATCCAACCTTTAGATCACTTAGATGGTGACTCTCTTTGTGATACAGTCTTAGAGCCATTATTGTTGTGTGCCTTCATGTCATTTTTGGCCATGGCTATCCTAAAGTGAACCTATCAGAGGTTTTTCTTGACAAGATTTCTTTAGAGAGGACTTTCCATGATTTCCCTTTGATAGTGAGAGTGTGACCTGCCTGAGGCCATACAGTATGTTTCCATGGCAAAGCAAGAATTTAAATCCAAGTCTCCAGAGTCTAAGCCCAGCACTCAAACAATTACACCACATTGGCTGTCTCTTAGACCCCATCTGCAATGTGCTATAATGCAGTTTGAAACTGCATTGAACTGCATCATAGAAGTCAACACTGACCATATAATGCAGTTCCAATGTAGATGAAGCCATAGAGGATAGAAAAGGCCTCGTGATCAATGGAGCATCCACTTCGGCTTTGCACATCTCAGGATGGATCTATTCCACCATATAATCTAGTTTCAGAAAGCAGATTAGCTGCATCTAATGGGATTATATGATAGTGTAGACTCATAAAATCACATTCAGTGCAGTTAATATGCATCCTGAAACTGGGTTATATGACAGTGTGGATCCAGCCTCAAACTTCCTAAAGGATAAGGAGGATTCTGTTTCAAATATTTTGAAAAAATCATACATAGAACAGACCAGGCAAGATTGAAGACAGACCGCATCTCCAATAGGGTAGACCAGCATCTGAGGCTGCATCTACACTATAGAATCAATGTAGTTTGGCATGACTTTAAATACCTTGGCTTGATGCAATGGAATCTTGGGAATTGCGATTTTACAAAGTCTTTAGTCTTCATTACAAAAGAGTACTGGTGATTCAAAAAACTACAACTCCCAGGATTCCATCACATTGAGCCATGGTAGTTTGGGTGGTGCTGGAATTTGTAAGGGAATACTTTAGTTTGAGGTTTGAGGGGGCCGTGAGCTCTCCGTGGGGTGGAAATGACATTTATAACCCTGGAACAAAATTCATGTTATGTAGGTCCCTTCCATACAGCTGAATAAAATCCCACATTATCTGCTTTTGCTGCATCCACCCACCCA